ATAAATAAATAGAGCTGACCCAAGAAATCCCCATGGATTCAATGGGCCTATGGCAGTTGTGACTTATGAGTGGATTTCAACCAGTTTTTCAAAACACTTCCTGCCCATCAAACTAAATTGTCTGCTCTTTTTAAAGCCTTGACTGCACACATTGGACAGGACGGTAGGTGTGTGTACATTGAGGGTTGGTGGGTTACAAATTTGTGTGCTGAACCATTTGTGCTGCTAATTCTCCCCTTAATTGAGGGATTAAAAACAAATCATTGTGCTATCCATTGCTGCTAGCTGGACAGGTCAGTGATTTAGGTCTCTGGCTGTGGAGCCAGAGGTTGGGAGTTCAATTCCCCACTGGGCCTCCTGGGAGAACAGCCAGCCTGGGTGGCCTTGGGCCAGCTGCACAGTCCCACAGTGCCCCTAGAGGAAGGGAAGGGTAAAGCACTTCTGAGTATTCTCTACCTAGGAAACCATGGAAAGTATTGCCACCAGTTAAAATTGAATTGATGGCACAAGATGATGATGACGATGATGATTAACTGAAAGATGGCAGGGAATAGTTACACCAGCTTCAGGCTTTTCTGAGGCTCATACAACTTCCCTGGAAAACGAAGGTCAATCCAGTGGAACCAAAGTTGCCTCTACTTAACATAACTATTTTTTGTTGCTAAACGAGCACATTATTTTCAAGCTTCTGTTCTGCCCAACCCCAGGATAACATCTTTAGGGTAACCATAGACTGAATGGGGTTAGTGGCTGACCTCAAAGTTCTTAGAACTATAGCCAAAAAAACCTCCCACCCATTTAACCAGAAAATCAAAACCAAGACAGCAGACTTATCCCGTTAAGGACTGCACCATATTTTTGATGAAATAGCTTCGGCGTCAATCTTCAAGAAAAGCTAGCTCTCTTTAATATACGTGAACTATGAGATTTAGCTGGGAAATGGGTTTGAAGGAAAACATATAAAGGCGGCTGCGGAAGAGACAACAGACAGAAAAGCTGCAAATAATTGGAAGTGTATATTATAAACAACTTCCCATGCCATTGTTAGCCAGCAACAGATTGAATTCCCCTTTAGTAATCTCAGTATGTTTGCTGCGCATTATTTAGCAGTAAAATGCAATTTCACAGAAGCACATCTTTGCAATTTTCCTTCCAATTGTGTCATTTTAATACATTTACTAGACAGTCCTTTTTTATATTTTTAAATAGCACTACCGTGATTAAGGCCAGCATCTAAGGGGGCAAAAAAAAAAAAATGGAGCGGGTTTGGTGAGTTAAAGGGCTGGAAATGGTATGATATTTCATGACTGTATTAGAAGGAAATTGGATGCCAAAGGATTTAGCATAGGACTCTTTAAAAAAGAGAATAGATTGACTTGGAAGAAAAGGAGTAAACAAGAATGCATGATTGAAATAATGTAAGCCACTTCAGACATGGATGAGGACCACTAAAGATCAGAAATAAATTATACCCTAAAATGATTCAATAAAAATCAAGATTGTAGTGCCGTAATCAGGCAACGTACGGCAGGGAGGCGGATAGGAGATAGCCTATAAAAAGCAGAAGGACCCTAGCCGTTCTGGCACATTAGCTCATGAGGAGAATCTGAAAGCAGGGGTAAGATGCAGCCGACTGTGACTGCAGATCCTTTCCAGGTAAAGAGAACTACGCAATCAGGAAGAGACTGGAGCAGAGAAGTATGTATCTATGTACCAGTGTAATTATTAGCTGAGATGAGGATTAGGTTGGACACACCAGTGGATGCTTAGGGAGCAATTGCTTGTCCTACATATGAAAGCACAGGATGGAAAAATCAAAGCAGTCATGGAGAAAGCGAACATACCACCCACAAAATGGAGGGTAAAGCAGATACAAATAATAAAGGCCAATTTTCAAATTCCTTTTTTTAAAATTACAAACTATAAATGACAAATTGCCAAATTACTTATTTTGATCAGACTTGCTGTCCTGCTGAGAATGCATTAACTGCCAGGTGATTTCTAACTTTCAGCATGAGAAGGAGACACGGAACACTTTTGTGGTTGTGGCTACAGCAGATTGTGTACTGTGTTTTTGTGCAAAATAAGTGTCTTTCCTGTTTCCAAAGCCAAGCCAAGCCAATGTGTGCAGAAGCCCGCATAGAGCAACCACAGAAGAACTGGCAGTGGCCAAAAAGATACAAGCAACCCATCCAGGTCTTCTACATTTCTAGAAATCTGCACAACAGATTTTCTCCAGTTCTTTACATATAATTTCTCTCTATGTTTCATAAATCTGACAGTCAATAAATGTAAAAATGACATTCCAATTCCTTTTAAATTTTGTATCGTGGAAAAGAGAATGGGAGGTGAAGGACACTGTCAAAATGGCCACGAAAGGACCAGGATTCCCGCAGCCCTTCTGCTGTAGGCAGAGTTCAGCTGGCCCATGAATACTCAAGCTGTGTTTCCTTTGCCTCAAAACATGGTTTGAACAACACCTTCTGTCAAATATTAAATCTGTCCAGCCGTTGGTTCTTGGAGCTCCTTGTGCAGATGAAGCACAAAATAGCTGAGCAAGTTTGTGCTTGCAAGGAGCTAGAAAGGAAAGGAAAGGAAGGAAGGGGTGAGACAAGCATAAGCAGCCAAAACAATCTGCAGTGCTCTAACAATCTGTGCATCACTGCCATGAATTGCAAGGAGCTAGAAAGGAAAGGAAAGGAACGGGTGAGAGAAGCATAAGCAGCCAAAACAATCCGCAGTGCTCTAACAATATTCTGTGCATCACTGCCATGAAAGTAGATGCTCTTCCCAATTAGATTCATGACATCAACTGGGATTCAAAGCAGGGAGGATTCTTTTTTAAAAAAAAAATCAGTTCCAAATGCTGGCTGCATCTCCCGTTGCCCCTGCTGATGAGAAGAGGGTGCTCGGTCAAGACTGCCGAGCCTGATTGTACAGCTAGAGCCGGAGGGCAGCTGGACTATCCCTGTGACTTGCTAATTTGGCACACGCTGTAGTTCCTGTGCTTCGTTATGCAAGCGCCCGTCCTGCTGATGCAAATGGCCCTTCAGGGCAGATTACGTTGGCACATGACGACTCCAATATCACCATTACCCCAATGTGCGATGGAGCTTCCTGATGACCAGGGCTTTCTCCGTTGCTGCAATCTGGGGGTGCGTTTGTGGGTGTAAGTGTGGCTCTGCATACCCAGGAAGGTGCCAAGCCTCCAGAGAATACAGAACCCTGCCTTGTTTCCAGTCCCTGGGGTAGCTGATCTCGGTTGTCACTAAAAATGCCACCTCTGTTTGTCCTGTCCGTCAATGCATTGAAATTTAATGCTGCAGGAGACGGGGAGCTGGGAGGAAACGGCAGGCTTGTCTGTGCTCCTTATTTTCTCACATCATTTCCTCTACCAGGAGCACTATCCGTCTCTTCTCTGTGGTCTTTCCATCTCCCTCTCTGCTCTCATTGATTTCTCTTATGGCTACTGCTGTCTGCCTCATTTCTTCCCCTTGCTTCTTCCACCAGGCCTCGGCTTCCTCTGTTCACTTCATCGCCTCTATTTTTCTAGCTAATGTCCTTTATTTTGCTCTGTTTAATTTTGGTTCGGTCCTTGGGAAGGGGCCCCAAAGCTGCCTACCGCCTTTAAAAATTATTGTGTTTTTAGCAATCAGGTTGTCTATGATGCCTTATTTTTTACTTTTATTGGTCTTTTTATGATTATACTATGTTATTCTACTCTTGTTCTGTTAGCTGCCTAGAGTAGTGGCTTTAGCACTAGCTGGGCAGGATGGATGGATGGAGAAATGAATGAATGAATGAATGAATGAATGAATGAATGAATGAATGAATGAATGAATGAATGAATGAATGAAACAACCTATATATATATCCCAAATATATAGGTTGTTGTAGGTTGATAGATAGATAGATAGACAGACAGACAGACAGACAGACAGACTCAACCATATCATCTGTGGTCCTCTGTTTGCTTTATTAGTTTCCCTTCATGTATGGTGGTAGATTTCAGCTTCCCTCACTTTGGGATGTATTATATTATAACTTGCTTTTAGAAATATGAAGGCAGCACTTCCTGGAGGCTGCTGTTCTATTAAGTGCCATATTTTTGCAATCTCTGTATTCTCAACAACATAACAGGGTTATATTGATACAGCTTTTGTACTTACGGTAAAGATTCCTATGCCATACATACTTTCATCATATTTTGCCTTCCATGGAACCCCTCCCCTTTTGCTTCTTAACATATTATATTACTATTATTCAAAAAATGCCAGGCATAGTCAATCAAAATTATAAAAACATTGACTGGTATCATCGTCATCATCTCTATGGATGTCAAACTATTTCCAGAGAAAGCATTTAAGTCGTATGGATCATAATGGTCATAATGATGGTTAACAATATAATAGCTGGCTGGATAGCTCAGTGGTTTAGATGCTGAGAGTTCAACTCCCCACTGTGCTTTTTGGGGAAAAAGTCAGCCTGTGTAGCCTTGGGCTAGCTGCACGGCCCCAGGATATTCACAGAAGAAGTGAATAGTGAGCCACTCTACTTTGGAAACCCTGAAAAAGGTCACCATAAGTCAGAATTGACTTGACAGCACATCATCATCATCTGGCAACATAATTTCATGGCTGGCACTACCCTCTTACACAATACATTCATTCTCTCTCTGCCCTCTCTCTCTCTCTCTCACACACACACACACACACACACACACAAAGAAAAGGGGCTCAGATAAACCCATGCCGTTTCCACCCGTTACCCAGGTTGCTTCATTACCGTTCTCTCCATCAGACTTCCGCTCGTGGTCCGTGTCAGTGAGCGAGAGGGCGGAGTTTGCACGGCTCGACAAGCAGGAGCTGTGTTCCGATTTCATCCCCGACACCCACATTCTCAAGGCCTGATCCGGAGAGGCTCCTCCTTCCGTCTCAGTATCCACATCTGAACCCATTTCTATTGGATAGCTGTGCTGGGAAACCGCATGCATGTCTGACTGGTAGCTAGTGCACAGGATGTGTGGAGGGTCACAAAACTCCATCTCTGTGGAAGAAACAAAACCGGAAACCATTTTAGCCCTCATATATCAAAACACTTGCACTCAGTGAGTTGAGAGGTATTTTCTGACGCCAGAGAAACTACTGTATCCTGAGGTTTGGGGCTGTGGACAACATTAGTAGTTAAGGTTAGGTTTATTTGAAATATACCTCTTTTATTTTATAACTGTAGTGAGAATTCCACTCTCTCCCTCATATCTAGAAGAAATTTTCATTTCCTGTTAATGAGGACTACCTATTAACAACCAGGATGTGTCACTTCAGCTTCAGTGTCTCTTGGTTCAGGAAAAAAACAGAGTGGGACTCTTAAAAAAATCTTAAACATTATATTGACCAAGACAAGAATATATTTATGTATCCTAATGTCAAAAAGCAACCAACATGTTATTCCAGTTTTTTCTTTATAAAAGATATACAAAAACAGACACACAGAGACACACAATAGATAAATTATAATAAATAGTAAACAAGTGAAACTCAGCAAAATTGTTCAACCCTCTTGGAGACCTCTCTGCCCCTTCCTTTAATGGGGAGTAGAGATGTGCATGGTGCCGGTTTGACGCTTTGTGCTGGTTCGTTCAGCGGTCAAAAAGGTGTTCAGTGCTTCAAAGCCCTACCTCTTCTGGCAGCTGCCCACTCAGAGGCAGTGCCCAGAGGAGGCAGGGCAGGGAAGCCAGGTGGGACTGTCTCCGGGTGGGCGTCTGCTAGAGGAGGTGGGGCTTTGAAGTGCCAAATGCCGGTTTGACTGAGAAACAAACCAGTACCAACCACCAAACTAGAGGTTTGTGCTCATCTTTAATGGGGACAATCGGCCTTGTACTGGAAAGAGCCTTATAGATCTTAAGAGTATTGTTTGTATTTTCAAAATGGAGATACAAATGTAATTTCTTTTTATGGATTTTATGTTCCCAGCAAACCATCGAGGAACTTATCATCCTACTGTCAGCAACCTTTCCACCGTTTCATCTTACAGTATGTAGACACCATAGGTTTAACATGAATGCTTCTGTTCACTTGCCTTTTTGAACAGCGTGCCTAAGGACGAGAGCTTTGATTTCCAAAGCTTGCATGGAGAATGTTATTACCTGTCCTAATGATAATATTACCATGACCTAGATTTCCGAGTCTGTTCATATATTTTTGCACGACACCTCCACATTTAAGGTCCGATTCCATGGTGAATTCTGGAACAAAACACAACACAAGGAAGATAAAAAGGCCTCATCCTGGTGCATGAGGCTTAAAGGAAGCTGGTTTTTGCTGATTTATCAAAATGTTCATCTATTATAGATTTCATGCCCTAATCTTCTGAGTGTTCCAGC